ACACCAACACTGCATATGAATGAGTGTAGCAATGCTTTGGTCATCACTAGGAGGTCTTCTGACATCATTGCCTCCCCCCTTTAGCCCTGCCATCTACCTCAACTACTTCCTCGCCAACATGTGTCTCGGATGAATGTACGCATGAACATGATCAGCACTTACCCCCACTACCGGGTGTGATGGCCCATAGGAAACGTAGTTCTGCTCGACCTGCAACAAGCAGATCCTTGGATGCTTCTGGTAACTGCATGGGGTTACTCTTTTGATTATCCTTACCTTACTTCAGGTGTGATGAGCACCCCTACTATGTATAGGCGTCGGTAAGTTGTTAATGCCTATCATAGAGTACGCGATTAGCAGGTACCCTAGTGCATCCCCTCGTATCACCACTAGCAGCCTAGGTAAGCCATATGGCTTCCTATGTCTCTCATTAGGATCTGTTTATTTTTCAGCTGGTGATACCCCACGTACACGGGGAGCGATCGGAGTGTCACCATCATGTAGCTTGTACGCGTAGGCAATTCCTTGTAACCCCATACCGATGCAGACCTTTGCCCTCACATTGTCAGGTATCAGAGCTCACCTCGTGGCAGAGTCATCGTATCAACACCGCGAAGGAGAGAATCAAGGGTGAGACTGTGTGACTCCTACTTATGATGACCACTCCTTCTCTTCCTCAGAGCCGAGGTATGGCGACTTATGTAGCTCAGAGGACACCGCGTAACAGTGTGGTTGTGGCAGCAGCATAACCACCCTACATTGCATCATCCCGTATCGGTTATTCCACTGCTTGGTATGATAATGTCGATGCTATTGCTGGTTCTACCTCTCTTGTTAGTTTGCAGCGAAGGAAACCAATGTTTCCAGGCTATAGCATTAATTGATAACACGAGGCCTTAGTTGTGGTCGTCTTGTTCATTCACCTCTACCATTATCATCACTACCCACCATTGTTGTCGTGATGTCCCCGTACTATAATAGTGTAAATAGGAAGGTTTTAATAACCATGAAGAGTAGCAGCAGTACTTATATCAATTCTAGGAGAATTCTCCTACATCCTCTCCCTATCTGTGCTGTTGCTGTATGCAGTAGGAAGTAGGTGAATCCAAGCATCATCGCGGGTCCCATTAGAGTTCTGATATTGGTTGTAAGTATTGATATTATGTCCGCTGTACTCTGGTATTCTCCACCATCACTGTGAAGACAGCTTGAACAATGAGCCATCCGTCTCTTACCCATTTTCGACTGATCTCTCGTCTACTCCGAATCGTTCAAGGCCGCCTGTGCGCGCTGAGATGAGCGTGTTAGTGACCATTCATGTGCAGTTAAGGACTTATCGTTACTTCGTTCCTCGTGTCCAATCAACTTTGCCGTTATTATGCTATTGTTACACAGCTATGTTGCCGGGATAACTCGCTGAGAGGTGATATCCCTGTAGTTGCTATCCTTGCTTATGATGCGCTCGCTTATTCGTACCTATGAACAGGTAGAGTCTGCGTCGCATGTGCACCTCCTTTTTTATTCGTATATACTTATCGCTATCCTTAATGTACTATCTCTGTTCCTCATCATCATCATCATCACACTATCGGCCGCTTGTTGTCTAATGCATTGTCGCCATCCCATTCAGGCGAATGGCTAATACTATTGCATTATGTTATCCACTATACGAGATGGACGACGTTCATAACCCCGTTCCATGCACAGGGAGGCTGTATACGACTGCTCTTGTGATTCGCCATGTACTCCTAACAGCCGTCACACACCTCTCTATTAATTGTAGCATCTGGAAGCTGTCGTCCTACATCATCTATATACAGTAGTAGTTGTTCTGTGCCCCGTGGGTTATGGTGATGCGAGATCATCGTGATGTATCTCTGCGTGTATACAGCGACGTTGGTGATATCGAGAAAGACCACAGAGGTTCGATCCCTCCCGTGGCAGCAGAAGTCCTGCCATTCATAGTAGTAGTATATCAATGAACCATCATGATACAACTGTATCGTGTAGCCCCTTAGGCTTGGGCCCCTTGTATGGGCTCTCGGTTGGTGTGGTCCGCCTGATTGTCCGAAGTATCTACTCACCTTTCCCTGCTGTTGCCTTCCATAGAGCTCCTGCGACTTCGTTGGTAATTTCTAACATCATTATCAATGAGTGATTTGAGTTGACTGTTTATATTTATGATGATTATCGGAGAGTTCGTGCATGCAATTGTTCGGCTCACCTACCTATCGCTGAGTAATTTAGTAGTTAACGATGATGCCGATTTCAGGCGCATCGTGGGCTGGAACCCCGGGAGGGCATTTCTTCAGTATTTTTTCGTTGACCACTTTGACCCTACCCAGCAGTCTTGTGTAATCTCATGACCCTGTTACCAGCAGGAGCATGTCCATCTCGCCGAGCATCACTTCCGACTTACTTGACACCATTACAGTCATCAACAGGAACTGATGCTGATTCCGGTGGCCAACCATTCCTTCCCATAGAATCCAAGAGCTCAAGGGGATATCCTCACGTAACTCGATGTAAGCGGCCTCGCATATCGTACTGATGATCTCATACTCCTTGTTTCAGTCGTCACTGGAGCTACGCAGTCTCCTAGTAGTTCATCCCGAGCTGATGCGGAAGAATTTCGATCCAATTTTCACGGGAAGGAACAGCTTTCACCAGCGCCGATGACGTTGGTGACGCGCTCGCTGTGCAGCAGTAGTACCGGATTGGACAACGCCGGAATGGATGCAATTAATCGACGCCGAGGGTCTAGCGCGAATTCTAAAGGGCACAATGTCAACTTTCAAAGAGTATGTAATAACGGGTTAACTATAAACAATGAGGTCGGTGACCTCCCTTCAAGCGTCTCACACCTGATCGGTCGAACTAAGGAGGCTGAGTGTGTGAAGGCGTTACACATCGTAGAGAGACAGTCTTATGAGGATGAAGATGTTTGGCCAGCGACAACAGCAGAAGAAGATGGTTCTTCTTCTTCTTCTCATAGATCCGATGGGTTCGATCAGCGTCTATGGGATCGTATTATGTCCAATGGGCAGCAGCAATTGAACAAGGGACCATCATCAACAACATCCACTAGCTGTCATTCTGATGCTACTGAATTGGTAAGACGATCGACAGATCCTCAACTATCGTCGACTCCACATAATCAAACTCCTGTCAAATGTGTGAGAGCAGATGCCAATGAACGGTGCAAGCGGATCGGTGAAGGATAGCCATGTCTTGTTCGATCATCCTTTTTACAGTACTTTTGCGATCGCATCATATCTGTCCTCGACCAACTATCCGAACGAAGCTTACCAACCTTATATATCAAGGCATGTACGTTAGGTAGCAGCCCACTCACTCAGTCATCGACTTGTTACCTATGCGTGGCTTATTCTTACTCGAGTCCTCTAGTGAGGTCTTCATGGCCTTCAAGGGTTTATAGCGTATTACTGTTGATTGAAATCGTCAACGTATCACGTCGACAGCTTTTTCTCGTAGTTTATTTCAGTATAACATTCTGGTTTCATACACTACACTTAAGTCTTGGATGATGGGTCGAAACATGTGGTGATGCCTTTTCAGATTTCTTCTCGTATATGGCTCTTACTCCTGATATGTAGTCATTGGAAATTCTCCGTACGTGGTTATATAGACAGCAACAGTCAGGGGTTCTATTACATCGGTAGTCATTGGTCTACATAGAGAGGATCATTGTAGTCTACAGGCTGGGGGGGAGGCTACTACTTTAGTATGTTGTAGTAGTACATATCGAGAACTCGATCAGGACTAGATCGCATTTCATGTGCTATCCTGGGTGGGATAGTGAGCATGCTGCTGCATATCCTCGAGTGGCCGCGACTGTGGCGTGCACGGGATGATCATCTCTGCGTTGTACCGGATGTGATATCTCTGCTCACCGGCAGTCTTATACCTTCCCGTGGAACGGACATCTGAATGCCGTACACTATCGCAGTGAGCAGGAATCCGTTTCGCGTTATCAAGTCATAGCAAGACTCTCAGTTTGAAACCGCATTCTGAGTGACATCCCAGGGAAGCGCTTGATCATCAACAGTGATAATAAACCACCCGCTGGCTTTCTGGGTGGAATTCTCTGGCCTATGTTGTGTTTGTCAATGATGTGGGAATGGTTTCGCCCGCATTGTTGTAGGTCGAACACTCCAGAGTTACCTCAATGTCGGCATCATCATCATTGCTCTACACCGCCTGTGCGTAATGAGCCGTTGGAGCGGATACCTAGGAAGCGGTGTCGGGTGGATGTATTGATGTTCCACTGAGCATTGACCTCAACCGTCCTCTCCTTTCCCCCACATCATCACGACTCTCTCGCTGGAGGCTGGCCTGACGCTGAGGATGGTGATAGTATGGATAGTCGTGATATCGGGAGTAGTGAAGGAAGGCTGCATGCATTGAGGCTCCTCAAGGCTCGCCTAAGACTGTGAATGCTCTTTGTCGAGATGGATGCCCTCCGCCGTCACGAGATAGTTCTGCCGCCATCTCACTCAAGTATCTAGGAAACGGCTACTGATGCACCGTATAGTGGTCGTAGCCCTGCGGTGTCCTATCCGTCCCTTTGTAGAGTATATGATCCCCTGTTGAGGGTGCCTTATCTCTGTACGTCTATTGCCTTGGGTATTATCCCGGAACATGTCGTTAGTTGTCGAGTATCAATGCTCGCGTCCATGTCGAGGCATGTTGGTGGACTGCAGGCAAACTCACCGCTCTCCACGAGGATGACGATCTCCCTCCCGAACTGCTGAGCTGCTCGAGCTGCTTGGTGCGAATCGCATCACTCCCTCATCGCATTCCTCGCCTGCTCTTGGACACTAATTGACACTGTACAGTATTTACCATGTGTGGTGTAGTGTCAGCAGTTTCTACTATTGATGATGTCATCATTATTTTGGGCGAGTTAGAGTCATTCAATGATGGTTACATATGGGAGTATATGATATGGGTAGGACTGTACAAGGTATTCCTCCAGCATGGGACTCCTGAGCATCTTGAAGAAGTTGAAGCGTGATGAAAAAGAGGCTAGGATACTGGTATTAGGCCTAGACAATGCGGGTAAGACAACGATATTGCGCAAGCTTAGTGAGGAGGATATCACTCAAGTGATGCCAACACAGGTGAGGCACTCCTCGTCAAACCGGCTCCTACAGTATGATTTTGTTATTGTTGTGATGTTCTGGTAGGGCTTCAATATAAAGAGTCTGGTCCGCGATGGTTTCAAGCTGAATGTATGGGATATTGGTGGTGAGTCACCGATTGTCGCCTGTAGTTGGTGAGGGGTGTTCAGGCCAGAAGACCATCCGACCCTACTGGTCTAACTACTTTGAGGCTACCGATGGGCTAGTGTTCGTGGTAGACTCAGCAGATCGTAGACGATTGGAGGAGAGCGGCAAGGAACTAAATGAACTACTGCAAGAGGATAAGCTGGGTATAGCATTCAAGGTGGGGTCAGATGGAACTTTTGTACGGCAGGAGGGACGGCTCTATTGGTATTCGCCAACAAACAGGATTTGCTACAGGCATTGCCTGCTAATGTGAGAGCTCTATATCCGCCGTGTAAACGAGCTCTTCTTGTAGGAGATATCCGATGCTTTGCATTTGGACAATATCAGAGAGAGGACTTGGACTATACAAGTGTGTGATAGGGTTATGATGAAGCATGTTAGTGTTGAGTCAACACTGTTGACTAGGCATGCTCAGCCAAGTCGGGTGAAGGGGTCCAGGATGGTATGGAATGGTTGGTCGGGGTTATATCCAGTAAACAGCAGCATCGTGCACATCCATCGTATTAATAATATCAACACATGTTCATGAGTGTTCATCCGTGAGACACGAATAATTGATTCCGTTGGTGGCCGGATGATGAGAGGGTGTTGTCGGTGGTTTGTTCAATGATCCTGCATTAACATGTCCCAGTCTACCTCCTCATCATCGAGTGGCCACTATGGCTCCTAGCTACCATGGTGGCCCCGTACAACTGATATCCATCGATGAGTCTGGCCAATGCACTGTTGATGAGTACGCCTTCAATATACTAAGGCAGATCGAGGGGAAGGTCATTGCATGCTGCTTTCGGGTCTGAGAGGTATCCTCGATCAGGTCGCTGTAGTTGGTATTGCTGGTCTCTACCGTAGGGGCAAGAATCCTGTCATGAACAGTCGTCTCCTTGGCCTACAAGATGGATTCGACCCCTGCACTCGTGGTATATGGATGTGGGGCCACCCGGTAGTACCCCTTGCCAACCGCCTTACCTCGAGGACACAATGACTCAGGTTCAACTAGGGCAGAATTTTCATGCTATTCTCATCGATACTGAGGGTCTGGGTAGCTGTGTCCGAACTACAAGCTGCGATATGCAGATATTCTCATTGTGCCTTCCTTCTTCGTGTATGGGTGCGATAAACGAGGAGAATCTCGACTAACTCAATCTGGTGAGTACTCTGGTTTAAGGGTATCCGGTAATGCCGTGAGATAGGTACTCCATCCCACAAAGCACATTCATGTTGTTCGATCCTCATTCAAGGCTGACTCAGCCGACCTTGCCGCCGACCTCCCAACTACTATGGGTACTTTGGGACTTCAACTTGAAGCTAGTCAACGAGTTAACAGGGCAATCAATATCACCCAAGAAGTGGCGAATGACAGGGCCACCTGCTGTTAGTAATGCTTCTAGCCAAGGTATCTCGAGCATGCTCTGAGGCCGGTAGCAGGCCGTAGTGAAGGGATCGAGCAGAAAAATAAAATACGTGATTGTATCATGCAGGCTACGTTCAGGGATGGCAGCTGTTCAGTGATGGTTAGACCAGTGGAGAATCAGTAGTGACCATCATCGACATCGTATATTCATGACGGCTTACCGTCATATCAGGGCCGACTTGAGGAACATCCAAAAGCTGCCGTATCGAGCATTGATGCCTCAATTCCAGCAGCAGGTTGATGCATTCGTCGAGAAGGTAATACTAAGATATCATCAGAGGACTCAGCCTGGTCACTAGGTGTACTCATCGTTGAAGCCCAAGATGATAGGAGGGACAGCTCCCAACGGATCAATGCTCACCACACTTGCTCAGGAGTGAGCTGGACAACACTGTCAAAGGCAGTGCTGTAACTGTCCAGTGTAGATATGTCAACGGCATAAACTCTAGTGCCGTGCCCACTATACGGAGTGCCTGGACAAACGTTGTTGTCAGAGATGCGGTCCATGTGTAGGTCTACACTTATTGTTTCTCGATGATGATCAATGGGATCAGGTACCGAGTCACGATGAATGAGGATGTGATGCAAAAGCTGCTGATGTCAGAGAAGGAGTTCCGAGGTAAGCACAAGTGAGAGGGTTTCGTTGACACTCACTTTTTGTTCGTAGTGTCATTGCTTAACACAGTGTCTACGGCAATATGGTTGCTCCTTTACAAGTACATTGAACAAAAGAGCTTGGTAAACTTCACCGACGGTGAATCACCGATCTAGCCATGGCCTGGCAGCAGCTATGCAGCATTCGTTTCCTTCCAAACGAGTTTCCTCCAAGTTGATATCTCTATACGAGTCGACGGCGGTTGAGCTGCTACTGAAATACGGCTGTCCAGGAAATGATTGCTCGAGAGCGTGAGCAGCACACTGTTGATTTCGCTCAAGTAAGAGCTGGCACTCGAGCTGGCATGGTATACTCGTTCCTCTATCAGGGAAGGACGAGCGTGTTGTCGAGCTCGAGATGATGCTGGAGGAGGCCAAACAATGATTGGAAGATACACAATACAGATTCCTACGAGAGGCGGCTCAAGTGAGCGCCGTTGAGGATTCGAGGCTCGCTATTGTCGCCGCCGACCGCTCCAGACGCGTGACCAGGAGTCTGTCATACGGGACCAAGTGAAGCAATTGCAGCAGGACAAACTACAAGAGAGGGGTACCTCGAAGAGCAGCTCTAGCACCGGGGCTGCTGAAGCTGAGTTGAATAACCTAAGGTAGACCAGACATTGAGGGTCGTTCAAAGGCGATGCTATGGCTGGGATGCAGTGTATGGAGCATTATCAGAGTTGAAGTCTCTGGACTTGGAAACTGTTATCGGTGAAGGCTGAGCACGAGGAGCAGCTCATAGGTGGGGACCTGATCTCAGCAACAGTGGATGCTACTCATCATGCAGGACTGGAGACGAGACTAAATAGACAATTGAATGAGGCACGACAATGAGATGTTGAGCTGAGTGTGGTAAGCTACGGTCCACTAGTGCCGAGGCTGACCGTAAGCTGAGGCCACAGCACGCTGATGTAGGTCAGTTGGAGGGTGGACACATCAGGACTGCTCGATAGGTCCTAGTGAACCAATCTGAGCTCATCATAAGCCTTCTACGTTATGGTGGTGGGCACCAACCACAGATTGGAGGGAAGCCTGAGAAGATGTCGACGCCAACACGAGATCCATTTGGAGTAACAGTACGACGGACATGAATGATGTCTGGAGTCAGTGATAAATACTGCTTATTGTTGCAATGTTGATGAGCACATTAATATTATGCAATAACATGGTATATTTACAGTGGATATAATCACCACCCATCAAACGATGAATAGGATATATCGTCTATGCGGTTTACCTTGCTCGACTATGCAGTATGAAGGCCGAAATGTTGCACAAACTGCTTCCACTTCCAGAAGTGACCCATCGTAGAGAAAGACCCTGGTTGTGAGTTTGCTAGTACATCGTTGGGTGTATTTATTGTGTGTAACCCTACCAAGTCCATCTTGTGCTGCCTCTAGTGCAGTGGCCGTGCTGCGTCTGTGTTGTCTACCATTGTGGCGTGACTCCAACCCACATCATGGTTATAAGTCAACTAGACAATCGTTCCACAGCTAGTTACTTCTCCCTTTACACTATGAGTGCCAACCTCTCTTGTCCCCTCGTGGATAGCAGCCACATGACTGCTATGAGAGGCCATCGTGTTAGGCTGATTGGGAAGGTAAGGAGTCATCTTTGTTCCCTGCTCCCTATTATGGCTTACTCAGCTAAGTGGCAACGGTACCAATCAAGGGGAATTCCACCTCATGGCCCCCGATGGAGAGCAAATACTGTGTAGATGCCCGGAAGGGATATCAGCACCAAGCAGTGGGGACATAGTGTAGGAGGCCATTACTGTATCGATATTATGTGTGTATCATGTCAGAGTGGTCGAGGTTGTAGGGACGGTTAGTGGCGATAAGGAGATCGACTTGGATATCCCACCTCAAGTCCATCAAGGGGGAGATATTGACCTGCCAATAATGGCCAAGGTTATCGCCCTACAACATAGGTAATATCAATTCAATGAGTGCGAGGAGAGGTAATGCTAGTAGGTCCCATGTCGCCCACTTGTATGAGGCTGTGCAAGCGTAGTGGGAGTTCAGGTTTCTTGAACTCCGAGCCACACTGTGGTGGTGAGTATTATTGCCACTAAGGCTTGCAATAACTCCTGCCCGACCTCAAGGGACATCCTCCTCTCTGGATCTACAACGCTGCTAGTAATAATTCATGACCGTTTTGCTCCGTCGGCTTCCCTTGTTGTGTTGGGCTATTGTTTAATCCTTCTCTGTTTATCATCACAACATCGAGCTCCTATGACTGAGATCCAGGAGGGTCCCTCGGAGGTATCCCTGTCCTCGGGTAGTGATATGGAGATTAACAAGAAGGGGGCCTCTAAACCGAAAGAAAGGGAGGCCCATGTAGCGGCAGGAGAGGCTTTGAGATCTGCCTGCCAGCTTGTGATGGATGATCTAACACGGAGGGGGCAGGCCCAGGTTCACGAATCTAGCCCAGGTCTAGGTCAGCAGTCTTATCAGACGGCTTGCTACCTTCATGATGAGGAATATGTCCTCCTCAAAGGTGTTGAAGAGCTCAGCCTTACAGCTCTACGTCGCCTCGCAGGGTTAGCAGGGAGGAGGTGGCCCAAGTGGCATCCTACTGATGGCTCCGGTGATGAAGAGCTCTTCCAACGAGGTTACATCTACCATACTTGCTTGTCCCCAGCAGAGCAAGTTCTCACATATGAGGAGCCCCAGGCCCTCAGGGGTTTCGAGACCATTGCCTGCACTGTAGAGGTACCACAGTTGGGCGGCGGCCCTCTGATGCCTAACTTGCTGCAGTCATTGGATACTAATGCCCTTCGTCGACTAGCGGCCACACTAGCTCTACCCAGTGCTGGTACCAAGGCATCCCTCCTGAAGTCTATTCGGACGGAGTTCAGTGGTCGTCAGCGGACCCTCCACCGATCGGTCCTTGACATGTCTATGGTTCTGAAGGCCCTCAGGGAGTCTGCCTATGTCCGACTCACAGTAGTGACAGTAAGGCTCTTAGCTGTCATCACCGCCCTATTGGAGGTATTAGGTGGAGATATGCAGGGCCCATCGAGTGCTACCTTCCAATTGGCCACCATGCCCAAGGCTCTCGTCCTGGCCCAGGCAGGTAAATTACGATGCGCCTTTCCGGGGGCCTCCCTATCTACGATGCCGTGGTTGCTCGATCGTGAGGAGTATGAGCTCATTCAAGTAGGGGTATACGGTGCTTATCTGTGGCAGCTCGGGGCCCAGGGTGCCCTCAAGTTAGCAGACCTCGGACGGCTTGTTATGCAGTACATAGACGCCCGCCTTGATGATGTGAAGCAACGTTTGGAGCGGCTAGAGAGGTGGCAAGCTAGCTTGACGTGCTGGTGGCAGCTGGTTAGTGTTGTATGGCATAGTGTATGGGCCTTGGAGAGAGGTAAGGAGTGGGAGCAAGCAGTTATAACTCTACAGTGGCTTATTCGTATCCTACCTTCACAGCTACAGAGTCCTAGCAGGAAGGCTAAGTACCTGCATAGGCTACGTATTGATTTGAGGCATCTTGGTAGGCAGGCCGATTTCCCATATATGTTGGCGGAGGCCACTGTGGAGGAAATAGACCTAGAAGGGCCAGACTCACTACTGTCGGACCCCATTATAAGGCTACCAGAACCCGAAAAAGTTGCTCTCAGTGGTGGGGTCCCGCCTCATATTGTCGTCAATGAGTACGATATTGTCGACTGTGGGGCCGGTAGAGCCTATGGTCGAGTTGAGGCGGCAACTCTGGACCATTTGGGTTGGCCAGGCGTCCATGACGAAGGGGGTATGATTCGGCGGCTCATGTCTGTGCTACTATGGCGAGAGCTGATTGATGATGCTGTCGAACGAGATACTGTAGTGAGCCCATGCCAACTGTATCCGGGGGATTTATTTGTAGAGGCTTACATAGATCGAGCCACACCTCGTGTTAAAGACAGGCTGAGAAAGATCTCGAGTATGGAACCTGACGAGTTGGCTCTGGAGGTCATTCGAGCGTCGAGAGAAGTCCAACGTAGTCCGCCTCTTCGCTTGGTGGGGTTACGGTGGACTCATGGTGTTGAGGAGGCAGGGAAAGGACGAGCAGAGAAGTGGAGCATAGAGGCTCTGGCCGGCCTTGCTCAATGTATGGGAGCCGATATCATGGTGAAGATATTCAGGCACATACTCTCCGATATGGGGTATTGGGGAGGAGGCATGCCAGATCTAACACTCCGGCAAGGGCAGCGTGTACGCTTTGTGGAGGTGAAGGGGCCAGGGGACGATCTATCCGCAAGACAGCGTGGATGGATAGCTGAGCTCATGCGGTGTGGCGCCGATGCAGAGGCAGCGTATATTGTGGAGCCTGGCAAGAAGCGGCCTGTGAAAAGGAAAAAGAGGAGGAAATGATGACAAGTATGATAGAGGATAGTGACTGAGCACAGGGGCTATGCAAGAGAATTAGTCCTACTTTCTTCCTATCAATGATCCTTGTGTTACTAGTGGTCACATTGAAATGAGGTTCTGGTTTTGGGCGCGCGCGATATTTACTGGCGCGTGACTATGTCGTATGTGAACGTTTTCTACGACTTTCGTGACGAGATTCTCGTCATATCTATCCAGCATCGAAACATAAGGAGTGCAGGATATCGGCATGTGTGTAAGAAGTGATGAAGAGTAGTAATGGGGGTAGAGCCAAAGTGTTTGGTTTACACCCTTCGGATGCCTTGTAGATAAAGAGGTCGTCTGTCCTATCCTATTCGACTGCTATAGGGTCAACTCCTGTAGTGACATTAGAAGCATTGATAACCACGATCAGCTCAGAGTGGTGTACGCGGAGATGTATACTCGTAGAAGGAAGAAGAGGCCACTTTGGGTGGCTACGGTTGACAAGGATAGTACCAAATGGAGTGGTAGATGTGGATCTAGTTACGCGTTAGAGACCTATTCCACTGGACGATCGACCCTCTATTAGAGGTACCATAGGGTACAACAAAAGGGATGTGAGCTCCAGAAGATAGCGAAACGTGAAAGTGCGCGGGTCCAATTCCCATCATGATGGTGCAGTGCCCGTCGGTGGAACTACTCAGCGTTCTGGTGAAGGCGGCTCACTTGCGTCATCCATAACACACCATCAATGCTGTACATTGCCACCGGAGGTGGGAGCTCCTGGTTATGGTAGAAGTATGCTGTCGCCTTCATGGTAGTATTATACGTAGCTTGGGCACATTCCTATAGTACTCAGAGAAAAAATACTAGACTTGACGAGAGTACACAGCTAGGGGGTGGGGAGGCCGCGGAAGTGGTCATGGTGTGGTGGGAGATCTAAGAGGACGAAATAGATGTGAAGTACATGTCATGATCCTCTATCTATGAGCCTTGATTTGCACTGATCATCATCCAATTGAGCAGTTGTTGTTGTTGTTGTTGTTGTTGTTGTTGTTGTTGTTGTTGTTGTTGTTGAGTATGTCATTACTACTAGCAGTACTACCTTGTCGAGGCAAGGGGATCCTCACACCATTAGCCTCACCACACCAGTGCCGGTATCGTCATTTCCTTACACCTGGGCTCCATAGAAGGTGGAACTATCGCTCTTTCCCTCACCTAGGAGAGGCGATAAGGTTCGCTAGAGCGGTGAGTCTATTATGAGGCTTGTTGGCAGTGTTGCCGATACTCCAATGTTAGTCCAAGAAGATACCAGTGTCGAAGTTGATGCACGCGACGCTTATACCGGAACGCCGACTCCTACAGATACAGCAAGGCTTGGTGAAGCCACACCTCTTCGAGGTATGTGAGACTACTATAGTAATGCCTGTACTAGTATCCCTCTATCTAGTTACAAGTACTAGAGAAGTACTTGGGTGTGCCGTTCTATGACAAGAAGAAGAGGAATCAATCGTACATCGATCGAGCTGTTTGATATCATGATACGTGTTTCTGTGCTCATAGTGCTTGCCTTAGTTCTGCATAGGTGTCGGTCATGCGCTCTGATGGCAGATTATTGCTCCCCTTAATGCGCTTGGCTTCCTTGTTTCTGTTCTTCTTTGCGGCGGTCGAGAGGGTCTCTTACTCCTATGGAGCCACTAGCCATCTGCCGTTGACCTTAGAATCTTGTAGATATGACAACGGAACCACTGGCGACAGCGGAAGCTGTCGGGATACCCCAAGCCATCATATAGGTGACACACTGTCGCACTGTCCAGTGGCTCACGAGGATCCCTATGGCGCCATGGGAGGACTGTGCTTGGAGCAATGGGGCATGATGGTATCGAGTGATGGGGCCGACGACATAGGGGGCTCGCCTATACCTCGGAATGGTCGATGGCACATCGATTCTGACTACCATGCCTGCGCCGACAATGCTTATGGTGTACCTTCGACCTATATTGAGGTTACTCTAGATGCCCCTGAGGTTAAGACAAGATCATTCGGACTATGCGTACCATCAGTGTGCTCTGTTGATGAGGTGAAGCACGAGGTTATACCACGGTACTTGCGTGGCATAGACGTAACTGACCTGAGTACAGTTGATGACGTCACTATATGCGAGATCAATGCAGAGGAGCTGAATAGGGCTGAGGGCCCGTTGACACCCTCAAGAGTAGCTCTCTTTTTACTACCATTCCTGGCTGCGACCTTCCTAGGAGTGGATAGCTTCTCATTATCTACAGGGCTCAGTAAGCTATGTACCCT